TTGTGTTGTCTAGAAGTTAAAAAATCTACATGATATGGACTACTTTATTTCTTTAGTTTATCTAATTTACCTTCAATTAATTTGTATCAACGTTCGCAAAAACGAAAAATAAGTAATGACGTTTTCCGAACAACGTAAATCAGCTTCGGTATCATTCCACTTAATGTTTCACAATGAATTCCAATTTCAAAGAATACAGAAAAGAATACTCAATGGAAGAATCAGAACAGGCACCCCAACCACGTACATCAGAAACGTATGCTTCATCAGAAAAATATAAAAATGAATCCAGTTCAAAATTGAAAATTAAAGTTTACAGCTATGCTTAATAATATATGTAGACTTTGAATATTAAACTAGGACAATTTTTGTCGAAGAGAAAGACCAGCTAGCATATCTGGTAATACAAATTAATCAATCTTGACTGAGGAATAGATGAGCCTGGTGAACCAAAAACACGCATAGAATCCAATGGTACCTGTGACCACAAAGAATGCATACGAAGCTATGAGCATGTAACCGAAGTACAGCATCCCGGAAACCAGTTTAGTGATCTCAAGCTTGGTGAAGAAGTAGAACGTGGCATAGAGGAAGAGGTATAATGCTGAAGAGCCTGATGTAAGGTATGACCTCCACCACCACAGGTAGTCCTCACTACACAACTGGAAGTAGCAAAGCACAACGGTTATTTCAGCACAAGTGATTAGGAGGATAATGAACACCAAGAAGAGGAAGCCGAAGATGTAGTAGAACTGATTCAGCCAGATTGAGGTCAGAATGAAGAAGAGTTCAATGAAAACAGCTCCAAATGGAAGAATTCCTCCGATCAAAACAGAGAAAATCGGGTTCATATACCAAGCTTGTTCAGGGATCTGCCTTGGAATCTTATTTGTCTTCACAGGATCCTCAATTGCTGGCTTCCTGAACCCAATATAGCTGCCAACAAACACCAGTGGTACAGAAATTCCAAACCATAACAGGACCAGAGCAAACATTGTCCCGAATGGTACTGCCCCAGATGACTTCTGGCCCCAGATGAGAGCATTCAAGACGAAAAAGATAGCGAAGACAATGGCTGGGAACATACACGCAGTCCTGAGAGCAATTCTCTTCCATTCTGCCCCTTTAAACATTTTGTATAGACGGGCAGAGGCATAACCAGCAAAAAGGCCCATAAAAACCCAAAGTAATAGCATAGCTGTCATAAGACCACCTCGGTTTGAAGGGGAAAGGAATCCAAGGATAGCAAAGATCATGGTAACAAGTACCATCCCAAAAAACTGAACACCAGTTCCGACATAGATACAGAGTAGATCAGAATTTGATGGAGGCCTGAAAACATCACCATGGACAAGCTTCCAACCTGTCTCCTCTTGGGCTTCTTCCTGGGTCTCAAGTTCATTATACTTTGAAATATCACGGTAAAGTGTTCGTAGCATAATCATTGCCACCATGCCAGAGAGGAAGAGAACAATCATTAAAGAATTAACAATTGAGAACCAGTGTATTTGGTCGTCATTCATTAAAAGATATGCATCCCATCTAGATGCCCACTTCACATCACTCTCCTAAAAGAGGGAAATCAGGGTAAAAAGCAATTAGTATATAGGCATCTCGGTGGCAACAAAGCATGTTACACTTATCATTTACTGTGAGTTTATTTCAAATAATAAATAAGAATAATAATAATAAGAATAATAATAATCAAACATCTATGTCAAATAAGATTTTGTTGGCATGGTACAAAATACTACATATGGGTACTGATCACTTACTAGGGCTTTCAGCTTATTTAGGACACTATAGAAATTAATATAGCAACTGCCAAATCTAAAAATTGTTTATTGCAGAAGAGCTCACCTGGAATTCAACATCATATGTGAAAATAATTTCCTTCTTGTCTTCAACTTCTTGGGGAGTGTTGGAATTCGTAACTGTGTGCTTAGCATGGGGGTCACATGTCGTTAAACGAGTCTTCTCATTCCAGTTCCCCTCATATTGATGTTTAATACTGCATGTTTTAAAATATCAAATGAATGCCACCCAACATGCTAAGAAGCATCAAACAAGGAAATCAAAGAAACTGACCTGAATGGTCTAACCTCAAACCCCACAATCCTTGCAGTCTCAGTCTGTGGATCTCTATGAAACTTGACAGTAAAAGCCAAATGGTTATGGATGAAATACTTTTCCTCCTTGGTCTGTGCATAATGAGACAAAGTAAGCCTAAGTAGTAATTAATACAACAAAAAATGATTTAGCTTTTGTGGCTAATGGACCATATTTTTACCCCAGAATATCTGCCTTTGAGTCCAACATGATAGCCAAGCTGGTAAAGAGTAAGAGATTCTTGATCAGGCCTTTTTATGGGAACAACCAGGGGAAGGTTATCAAGGATCCTGTCACATTATCACAAATTTATTAGGCAATGAGAAGTGAAAGCTGTCTCCAAAAAGAGTTGGAAGATGAATTGTGATTCTAACAAACAAATGGCATACATGTTGACTCTATACTCATCATCAATCTTCTCTTTGAAAGCCTTTGTAGTTTTAGCATCAAGAGTAATCCGGCCAACAACATTGCACATTTGTGGTTCTCGCATTTTAAACTGAAATAATCAACTCAAAGAAAATAAAAAGGCAAAAAAAGAGTCAACAGTCATAATTCATAAAGCAAACAGGTCCATATTCATCATGACTACTCAAGTCTAAAACTGACCACATAAGGAGAGTTCTCAATACGGTCTCCACGAAGTACTTCCCCAAGATTCTCTGCACTGTCCACTATGTTGTCCGGCCTACGATAAGGAAGAGAGTAATACGAGTAAGGAAGCTGTGTCTTTGTAGAAGTCAATTTATTAACCTTCACTTTCAATGGATCACCCTGCATTGCAATAAAAATATATTAATAAGATGCTTATACATGCTTGAGTACATTGAAAGAGGTTGATGTCTTTACTGGAGCATTTAGGTAAACAAAACTTTAATTAAAAATGAAGTGACTTGTTTATAAGTTAGAGGAGTGCCTTTACAAACTGTAAAGGTAGAATAAGCATTCTTCTATTCATGTCACTAGGGAAGCGAGCTCAGGAGGGACTACTGGCCAAAAGTCCCAAAAATAAAAAAAATATATAAAAAAAATAAAAAAATCCCAACCAATCATTTGGAGCTTGTTTTCATAGCATTCTGTAATCAGTTATATCTATCATAGACAAAGTAATCTTGCATATGCATTTCAAACCTATGCTGCACAAGGAAATTATGGTTGCCTAACTGGAAGAAGCAGAAAGGTTTTAGGCTAACGTCGTGGCTAAAACAATGCAACTTTAATTATATTATGATCAGGCCTATTATTTGCTTCTTCAAGTCTAAGTCTAGCCCGCAAGAATAGTAATTTGCGGTAGCATGTGCCTAAAAGTTACTCTGATTTGCATTAAATGCACGTACAGAATGACACATCTGCCTTAAATCCAAAAGAAAACGAGAAACCAAAACATGTCCACGGAGCTTAGCTGACCTTAAAATAGACAGACTGATTATAAACATAATTTTCAATAGCATTGCCAGATCTCGATATAAATGAGAAAAACTAAACCTTCTAAACCACATCCATCCCTTTCAGAGCTAATTTCTGCATTCCCCATACACTAATCTATAATTTCATTAGTTCGAGTCTCAAAGCAATTCTATACACTAAAGTTTAACCACCTCAACGAGATCCCTCCATTTTCCACCAAATCGCAGAAAGCAAACACGCAGGCAAAGTAAAAACGTGAGAAACAGAAACACAAGAAAAAAAGAGCAGATCGCAAACAAGAGATATCCACGAACTCAAAGCAGATCAAGACACTTATTGCAGAGACGAGAAGAAATTGAGATGAAACCTTAAAGAAGTCCTGAGGCGCGACGCCAGGCAGGTAGAAGCAGTGAGCGCCGTGGATCAGAATGAGGAGAACCGCGGCGATCATCGCCGATCCGGGGAGCGAAAGAGATTTCCTTCGAGATTCCATTTTCACGGCGAAGAAAAAAGACTCCCTGGAAAAAGAGAGTGAGGGAGAATCGGGAGACGATGGTTTCAGATCTGGAGAGCGGAGGCGGTGGTTGATTTTGTTTTTGATATTATGGAGGAGAAGAGCCAATAAGAAAAAAGGGGAGAAATGGAGCTACAGCGTGCCAGAACAGTCACTGGACACACGATCCGATTTCAGCAATGTCCGTTTTCGTACGGTGAGTTTCGGGTAGCCCAATCACATTCTGCCACGTCTCGTTCTATATATATATATAATTTTTGGAAGGCGCGTGTCTTAAAATTTGCCAGCCTGGGCCTTTGTAGTGTCGGTGTTGGTGCGGAGAATTATTCTATTGGACTGAACAGGCCCACTCCTGCCTGCCCAATATTTTCGGCCATGTACATGGCCCAATATTGAATGAATTTGACCCAGTAAGAAAGTGGCACAAATGGAAAGTGATAGTGATTTTCTTGCTTGACACATCAATTCTTTTAGGACTAACCAAAAAAAAAAAAATTAAAACATGATTGTTACTACTTACCACACACACACAAATGTTAAGGTTAATTATAAATTTATTTTATTAGGAGAGATTTTTTTTTCTAGAATTCCAAGATCATTTTAGAAATTGGTATGATTGATGCCATGAGTCATGATCCTAATTGTTCATTATCATTACATTGCCTTACATAAAAGAACAGTTTTCTCTCATTTGTGATGTCGCATATCAAGTATGCAAAACAATAAAAGTTTTATTACTTAATATTTGTGGTATTTATATGAGAGTGACTTTAATATTTACAAAACCTTCAAATCTAAAAAATCACACAAAAAAAAAAATCAACCATAAACAATCTAACGAACATCAAATTCACTATCCAAATATTTTATTATTTTATTTTTATAGAAATTTTATTTTATTTTTTACTAAACGATAACAGGGCAACCCATTCCTAGATGTCCTAAATTTGTATTGAGAAACAATTGTCTAAGTAATTTTTAAATAAAATGTATTTGAAACTTCTCATAAATACTTTTGTTAGAAAGTGAAAATTAAGGATGCCCTAACAAAAAAATTCTCAAGATGTCTTTGAATGAAACGATGTGTTTCATTTTAACCTAACCCTTTTTCCCACTGCTGGCTATAATGTATGAACCTTTCTCTTGTGAATTCTCTTTTTCTTCTTCCTCGACCACGACGAGAGTCATCAGAAGGACAAATTCCTCCAGCCTTCTTCTCACCAAAGCTCAATCCACAATCTCAATTTGTGTTCTCTTGGTTTTCCTTACTCTTTTTCCTTTTATTCTCTCCACTTTAAACCTACTATTCCCACCCCCACCATTGTAACTGCCTTCACCTCTCAGAGATTCCTGACCCAGAAATCCTTGCTTACCAAACCCAATTCCCCTTCATCCTTTTGGGAGTCTGAATTGTTGCCGTTCAAGTTCAGAACCATGCCACATGTCAAGAAACAAAGCAGTTCTCTCATAATTTAATTCTTGTAAAAATTGCAATACTCTCCCAACTTATATGAAATAGTAAAACCCAGCTTACCCCATCTAGGTAATTGATCAAAGACCTTGTGTGCATGGCTAAGAAAAAGTGAAAAACTTTATTTCCACAAACTTGGTGCTTCAAAACACAAAACAATTAAAGAAAACATGAAATACACTCCTAACCTAACACAAAGCATTAGACTTTACCTATCTCTTCTGCTTTCAAAACCACTAACACGATAGGCTTGCTTTCAAATAATTTAGACCATTTCAAATAAACACTAATGTATAGAGTACCAAGAATATGCAACTTGAAAATATAAATGCTTTGTAAAACTAAATTTATTCAGCAAATTACCAAAAGAAAAAGCTAATTTCAACAAATCAAGAATCTCATTTCAATAAAACATAGAAGTAAATGAAAAGTTATACCAAAATCTTAAAATAACTTAAAAAACCAAATTCATGAACACAAAGTCTAGATTCCACCAACTACCTGTTGATCTGAATGAAAAAAACTTAATTTCAGTTAAGTAAAGATCTCAAATTCGAATCTTGTTAATAGAGAAACAAGCACTAGAAGAACTTCCTCCCAAATGGGGTTCGACGTGATTCAATTCCAGATTAATCGAGACTTAATATAGTTATCGGATACCGAAATATTAATATCCAAAAAAAAAAAAAGCCTAGATTCCATAAAAACCACAAAAAGCTTTGGATCTAGATTTCAATGGACTAATTACAGTACGCCTTAGCGAAACTTCACTAGCTATCACCCATATTCATGAGTCAACTTTACAAAATAACTTCTATGTTGTTGTGCAAAACCTCACTATTACTCTTAAAAGATTTTATATTAGACCCACAAAAATTAAAAAATTTTGAAAGAAATTTTGTCCAAAAAAGTTAATGGACACGAATGAAGATTAAGAGTGGAGCCTTGGTGCTTTGGTGGTGACGACTTTTGATTGGAAGGAGAAAAAGAATTTTCAAGGCCTAATTTTGAATTGAGGGAGTGTGCAAGAACTCATCAGGGTTTTTTTTTTTTTGTGAGAAAAGGATAAATGAGTTGTATTAAAATGAAATGCACCGTTTCATTTTTAAGGATGTCCTAATAATTTTTTTTTGTCAAAGTATTCTTAATTTTCGTTTTCTATACTTCTATATACTACAAAAATTTGATGGGGACAATTTATATGAAGATTGTCATAAATATAAAATAAATTCAAATTGAGATAAAAAAAATCATTTAAACAATATAATAAAAAAAATTAAAAAAAAAAAAAAACAACAATAACAATAAGGAACACTCAAACTCCCTTTAGACCATTGAAGTATGAATCGAAATGATAGTGATAAGGATATAGTCCGGTCAAGGCCCAATGATCATGACTCGGGCTAGTGACCTTGACACATAACTCCGACCAGTTATAGTGGAACTGACACCACCCATTAGGCCATTATATACTCTCATAAATCAAAATTTCAAATTCCACTCCAATGGGATCCATGTGCCATGCCCATATCATGCGAGTATTCCCAAACCATACTTTTTCCCTTTAACTTGGGTGTATATTCCATACATGTAAAAGCCCTTTTCTTTGGGTTAAGTAGTTAGTACAATCATGTCTGAGCTTTAAGAGCATAAAACCTGGAGAGAATCATTCTGTGCAAGTTGTGAAGCAAAGTAAGCCAACCTCTTGAAAATATGGTGTAAGTTTATTCCAAACCTACACCAGCAATGTTGGGGATAAAAGGGGCTACATGGTCCCCCACATCCGACCTTTGCTAATGAAAAGCCCATCCGCACCCGCACCCATTATGCTATTGGGTCCCCCAGCATTATCATTATTTATTTATGATGCCAATTATATATACTCATGTCCTTATTAATTTCTTGTACCATTTTTTTTTTCTTTTGCCTTTGTAGTTACACATGGGGATCATTTGACTGAGAATACGATGTACCTCTTTTTATTGAATAATAATCTCATCCATGTGCTTCCTGCTAAAGGTGATAGTCTGTGCCCACGTTTTAATGATTCATTTGCCGTCAGTTTCTACAATAAAATCCGTTGGCTACATTTTTCTTTTTAAAAAAAATTTCAATTTAAAAATCTTAAAAAAAATATCATATTAAAATAAAATTTAGTGTTTATTTGGTGTAATTGGAGTTTTTAATAAAAATTTTATTAAAAAAATTATTATAAAAGTGTTATTTTATAAATAAAAAAATAAAAAAAAATAAAAATAATAGGTTAATTTCATTAAAATTCAAATAAAAAATCCATGCAAAACCACCAATTCGATGGTTTTAATATTTACAATGAAATAAATAAAATATTAATTTATAAAAAATTATAATATTTTTTTAAATTATAATGTTTAGTGTAACTAGAGTTTTTAAAGTTCAAAAAAATTTCTTACCAATTGTACCAAGCATAGCATTAGTTTCATGTTTTTATTATTCTTTTCATTTGAGATTGTAAAATTTAACCTATATATCAAATAAGGAAGGCTGCTCTTTCATTTGGAAGGCTTGCTCTCATCTAAGCTAGCTAGTATTTAGTTTAACACATTTAAATTGTACAGTTATTTCTTTAAGATAATGTTATTTTATAATTTTTCTTATGCAAATTATATTTTTTTAATTATTGATGAAGGAGTAAGCTTTTTAATATCAAAAACTCGTTTTTTTTGGTAAGTAATTATAAAAAGTACAATTTGTGTAATGTATATTGTTTTTATTTTTATTTTTTTAAAGAATAATAAATAAAAGAAAAAAAATGTAGAAAGGGGGTTTTGAATGCTTAACTTTGTGGGTGAACAAGTTGGAGAGCAGGCTTGAATATGAATGAAAGGCATTAACGTGGGCTAATAAAGGGGTGGCGTAAAGGAACACTTGAGTGGTTGAAGGGAACAATTATGAAGGTAGGTAGCTGTAAAGGCCATGAAATGGGGGGAATTTGGTGTAGTGTCATTAATCTTCCAATTAACAACATTGATGCCTCCTCTACACAGCCTATGGAAGGACTTTGGTTCACTAAGGTCCCAAAATGAGTACTAGCAGATAAGATATTCACAGAGTCAGTTTAATAATAGGCAAGGGTAAAATCGAATCTTTAGATCTAAAAGTTCGACTTCAACTTTTAAGTGTTTGGATGAGGTGATTAGAATTTCGAGTTCTACCACCGTTATGAATTCCATCAAAAAATAGTTTAATGGCCGCGTGTCTCATTTTAAGGGATGAAATGTTTGCTCAATTTAGAGATCGAATCCCTAATTACTAACAATTAATTTATTTTAATTTCTTAACCATTAATCTCGTAAAACAAAAAAAAAAAAAAGGAAAAAAGAGGCAAGGACATGAGGTGTATTAATTACCTTCTCTAAGTAGATGTTGGGTGGGGCGCGGGGGGTTCATAGGCACCAGTGCCGCAGTGCCTGAATGAGAGTACAGTTCTGTTCATAGACATTGTGACTGCGACTACTTCTGAAGAGAGTCATTTCTGACGATGCGTTACGGCCAATTTTGGACACTTTGGACGTGTTTGGTTCGTATATTTTTTCAGAAAAAAAAAAAAAAAATCTAAGAAGTTGAATCTTAAAATTTTTTTGGTTTAGTCCATAAATTTGTTAATTATAGCATAAAAATTTATACAATAAAATAATTCTCTAAAAAGTGATATATAATCAATTATTTTTTTGATATAATCGGATTTTTTTAATATACTAATTAATTATTTTTTATAGTAATCATTTACTTTATCAAGAAATTTTTTTTGATTAAATGAGTAAATTATTTCTTAAAATTATTGTGTTAAAATAAATCACTATAAAAAAATTTATGTAGTTTATTATTTAAAATTTTTATTTTTAAGAAATCAAATCAAATTTAATGGTTTTTATTAAACTTTATTAAACAATTGCTTTTGAATTTGAATGAAAAATTAACAATAATTATTTAATTTGAGTCAATATTTTGAAAGTAAAATTTTAAGCTAACAACTTACATCAATATTTTTTTAAGTTAGAAATTTTTTTAACATAATAATTTTAGAGGATAATATACACCTTTTGTTGAAATTTTTTTTTCATATTTTTTTGACAGGAAACAAATTCAGGATTATATAACATAAAAAAAAAAAGAAAAAAAGATTATGTTCTTTTGATTTAGTTTTCTTATTTTTTTCAGACCATGCAATTGATAAAAAAAAAATGACTCCACACTTTCAAGTTTTTCTTAAAAAAAAAAATCAAATTAAACAAGTTAAAATATCAATTTGGTCCCTCAATTTTCTATTTTGGTACCAAAATTGTTCCTAAACTTCATTTTTGGGTATCAATTTCATCTTTTTGTTAGGTAAGTGATGATATGACTAAATCTTTTCTTAAGTAATTCAATATTTTTTTAATATTGAATATTATGTGAAAACTAAATAGGTGATGTGATATTTTTTTAATCTATGACATTTTTTAAATTAAATGATATATTACTTTAATACCATTTAATCACCTCTAACAATAATGACTTTAATGAGAAATTCCAAGATTACCATCCCCATCCCTTCTTCTTTTTCATCCTCTTGCCCTACTTGATCTTCCTCACTAGCCCACCTAATCTTTTATCCATGATGAGGAAGCCTGGCTATCCAATGAGACTCACATGCCAAGGTTCAATTTTTGTTGATCTTGCCTTTTCTCCTTTTCTCCTCCATGGATCTCTCTCCTATTTTCTTCTCCTCATTTTCCCATTGCCTATGATGGGTTTTGTTAGTGAGGTTGAAGGGATGGCAAGGACTAGGTTGAGGGGATCCCTTTTATCATTTTTTGAGTTCTAATAATGTAATAACTCAGATTTGTTGGTCGTATTTTCATAAAAACTTGGAACCTAAATCTAGGTTATTACTTAGATCTAATTTGGTTTCTCTTTTTTGTTTTTGTTTTTTTATGAATTTTTTAATTATTTTTATTATTATTTTATTATTTTTTAATTTTATTATTATTATTAATTTGGTTTTATAGTAGAAAACCCAACATTCAAAGACTATAAAAAAATTTAAGGTTTATGGTTGAAAATTTGACTAAGTCTTTTTCTTCTATGATGTCCTCCCTCCCTTCTTTGATGTCTTCATGTTTCAAAAACCCACATCTAGGTTTATGTGTTAGTGAACCCTGACCTTCAAACCTAACCCAATATTTGAAGACTACAAAAAATTCGAGGTTTATGACTGAGATTTTAAACTTTCTTCCTACTTTGACATCTCCATGTTTCAAAACCTAGAATTGGATTTGTGTTTTCATGAACGCAGACCTTGAACCCAAACTTTTGGGTTCCAAAACTTCGGTTTTGATATGTTATAGTTGCAAATAATGATGATTTAATTTAATTTGCAAATGATTTACTTGTTTAAGCGATACCAAACTTTTAATTAGAGTTGAAATTTATTTTTAATTGAAAGCTGTATCTTTAATTTTAATGCAATTAGAGTGCCACATAACCTTTTAAATTTTCACCTCATTTCTATGTAATATTTAAAATTAAGGAAAATGAATTTTTTGACAAAAAAAAGTTTGCCATGTCATTATTTAATTGACAGAATGATGGATTTGATATCGAAAAATGAAAGTTTAAAAATAATTTTGATACTTTTTTAAGTTTAAATACAATTTTGATACCAAAATGAAAAGTTAAGGGACCAAAATAATATTTTAACCAATCAAACACACCCTTTAAAGGTATTTATATTTCACTACTTCTAAATTTAAACTTAAAACTTTAAAATAAAAACTCAATGGTAAACATTAAAATTGAATATTTGTTTAATAATGAATGCATAGTGTCAATAGGCTGAATTTCAAATAAAAGAGTAAAAACAGATTTACTAAAAAAAAAAAAACCTCTTTTAGACTATCAATTAAAATAAATTATTAACTATTTAATATGTAATATGATTATATGTTAAAAATTTATTTGTTATTTAAATATTTTTAATTGAAAATAAATTTATAATGATATCATATATTAAATAATAAGTAAATTATTTTAATTAATAATTAAAAAAATAATTTACCTTTATATTTTTTAAGAGATAAATCTACTCTTATGCTTCTATTTAAATGACCAATTTAAGAGTTTTGCTGTAGGATAATGATGTGTGCACATCAAGATCCTACACCCAGATATGCATACCGCCACATAAAAAAAAAAAAATTCAACATCTAATCCAACTTTTTTATTTTTTATGTGAAAGAATGCACACCCGAGTGTGAAATCCGAATATGCACCTATCATGATCCAGTGCTGTAACAATACCAGTTAACAACTGCCCAGGTATTTTCTGTCTTGGATCTAATAGTATTATTGGCAATAGTAAGGGGCATAATAATATAATACCATTATTAAAATACAAAATACGAGTTGCGGAATAAATAAGAAAAAAATAGGTCAGAAACGAAGATAATTTGCTACTTTTTGTTGGTTTGACACCACTGCATACTCCCATTTTGCATGACAAGTTTGATTTGATTCTGGACAATAATATCTGCAAAGGCAAAAAAAAAAGAAAGATTAGAAAGGACAGTTAACAAATTTAAACACAGACATTAACGGATTTAATTAATTGCATTACTCGATCGGGAAATGAAATATGTCCTTCACTTTAGATTAATGATTAGTATTTTTTCAATAGGTGGCGCCATTAGAATTTTTAAAAAAATTTTTTATATAATTTTTATATAATAAATTTTTTTATACAATTTTTACATGTTAAATTTTTTTATACAATTTTTACATGTCATTAAATGAATAGATGCATTTAATATCATAAGTTCAACATAAATTAAAAAAATTAATCATTTTAATGACATATTATATTGTACAAAAAAATGAAACAAAATAATTTCTTCAATAATATTTTCCTTTTTCAATTCATATAAATTATAATTCTAATGCCAAACCATAAATAAATTAAGCTTAGATCTATGAACA